CTTGGGCCTGTCTTCCACACGCGGGGTTGACAGTCACCTGCAGCTCCTGCGGGCTCTCACTTTGTCTCTCCAGACTCTCAGCTGCCCCCACATAACAACACTTTCTCGGACTCCACTTCTTGCAAGCACAGAGTGCAGGGTAAAGAAGACTGGATTGAAAGTCAGACTCTCTGAGTTCAAAGCCCCATTCCCCACCTTCAGCATCCCAGCTTAGCTGCTTGGTCTTCCTAGGAGGCCTCAGTTACCAAATCCTTAAACCAGGAATCTCATGGTAATTCCTTCATGTGGTGTGTGTGTGTGGGGGGGGGATTAAATGTTTGCCCATGAAGTGCTCGGCACAGCTGCTGGTGCAGACTTTCACGGTGCTGGCTGCCATTAGCCACAGTGAGTCTTCGAGGCCTGGGAAGACACCTGCTGGCCTGACGTAGCTGGGGCACCGGACAGGGAGGTGGGCACGACCTCACGGGCTGCATTCAGCGGCACTCGCTGGAGGGCCGGAACTGTGAAGTGCACTTGGACTCACGGATCAAAACATGATCTTGAATATTCAGCGTGGCTTTCTTCCACAAGCTCCAGTTTCAGAGTGTGCATTTATTATGTATGCTTTCATAACAGTCTCCCCAAACTGCTACAGCCAGCCTTCACTTCCAGTTTCTTTGTGCAGTTAAATCCCGCGCACTCTGGGGTCGTGGGCGACTCGTGAGGGGCAGTCCCTGCCTCCTGGGTGGGTGTGCCCCCTCCTCTGCTTCCTCCTGAAGAAACCAGGGGAGGCCACATGAGGTTTGGGGACAGGGGACAGACTTCAAAGGCAAAAGGTCTGGGGGTCAGCTTTGCTAGGCGACTGCTCTCTGAGCAGGAAAAGCAAATGTGGCCTCTCTCCAGCCCAGTTTATTTAACTTGCCGAAGCGCAGGGCCAGGAACAGAAGAACATTTAACAAGCAGCAGTCATCTGTCTTGCTTCACAAATACCCACTTCACCACCTGCCTCCTGACCCTCTTGGTGGGGGGCCCGCTTGGCACCTCACATTTAACCCGCCTCAAACCAACTTCACCACCTCCTCGGTCTCACAAAAGCCATCACCCAACCCCAGCCCCCACCAGTCATCTTGAGGTTGTCCTTGATGCCATTCTTCACGCCCCACCTGCAGTCTATGGAAATCCTCAAGATGAGAACTGCAAAATGAACCCTGTGGGTGACGACTCCTAGGACGTCCACTGCTCCTCCAGGGGTCTCAGCCCACAGTCCCTCTCACCTGGACTACTGTCAATGGCTTTCCTACTTCTTCCTCTTTGCAAGAGGGCACTGAGAATGATCCATCAAAAACATAAGTCGGATGAAGCCACGGGTCTGCCTGCAGCCGGCCAACTGTGCCCCAAGTTCCAGAGAGGAAAGGCAGCCTTCCGGTTTCCCTACAAACAAGGCCCCGGGAGTCTGATCTCATCTGCCCCCTCCCCGCCCCCACCCCCTCTTGGGCTCACTCTGCTCTTCCCCCAACTCCCCCGTCCTCAGCACAGCAGAGTTTACAAGGATTGTCCCTTGTGCCTGGGACACTATTCCACCCTCGCCCTAGGAATGCACCTGCCGCTTCACTTCTCTCAGTCTGCTTAAATGTCCCCTTGCTGCGAAATCTTGCATCACTCCCATATTTGAATAAAGCAACACCAATAACAACAATGCACACGCATACACACAGAGGCATCCACTTCTTTCTCTCTTACCCTCAACAGCACCAATCACTGTCTAATATGCTACACATTCATTGTTTCTTTGTTTACTGTCTGTCTCCCTCCATTCAGACATAAAACTCACAGAGGTAGGGCCTGGCTTTTATTCTTGCAACAACCACAACAGTTAGAAATCCATTTGGCAACCAACGGGAGCCCGGCTTACAGGAGTGCAGGGCCGATTCCTGATGCTAGCCATTAACGGTCTACTCGATTCTTTGACAGAGAATTAATAGCTCTGATAGTCCTCCAGCAGCTGGCACAGGCTGGGTGAACGTGCAGGCCCCTGGGATGGGGAGAGGGGGACGGGCTGTGGAGGGCAAGAGCTCCTGGGGGCAGAGGTGGAGGCAGGGTCCGCGGGCTCAATAAAGACTCCTTATTAGATAAGCACATCGGGAGGCTTGGTACAGGGCGATGGCCTGCACAGCAACGTCACAGAATTAAATCCACGTGATCGGAACGCCAGAGCTATGCTTGCCCCGGAACACAAGCTGTTCCAAGACAGAGAAAAATGAACACGGCCCAACCACATCACTGTCACTCAAAATATCTGCAGTGAAAGACGTCAATGACAATTGCCTTTATGAGGCGTTGCGGGGTGGGGGTGGGGGTTTGCCCTCGTGGACTGGAACATTCTACATTTATGAGCCTGTCCTAGGAGCTTTCTTCATGTTCCAAGATCTGACTTCTAGCAGTTCCAGTTTAGAAAAAGAAAAAAAAAATCACCAAAAAACAAAACAAGAAAACCCAGCTGTACAACAGAGAGGCGAGTGGAGGAGCGAAGGGCTTGCCGACTTTCCTTTCATTCCATGTTTTCCTAGAAAAACAAGGGTGAGCCTGGGAAAAGCTCTTCTACTCCTCGGCTGGTGAAGATAGAATCGTACCGCCCTCTGCCTGACGCATGAGCTGCTGGTGGGCAGGTGCTGTGCTCCCAGCAGTTTTGGGTACCAGGGATCTCCCAGGTTCCTGTGCACAGCGGGGGCCTGACAAATGCCAGAGATAAACCAAGAAGAGAACAAATACAATGCAGCTCATTACCTCAGCTCCTTGCATTCAACGTTCCCTACCCCTGGCCTGACCTTGGCCCTTACACTCAGCTCAGCCTCAGGAGTGCCTTGAATCTCAGGGTCCTACAAAGCCAGGTCCGCGCGCGGCCCAGCGAGGGGGAGCAGCACGAGCTCCGAAGGGCCCTCCCCTTTGCATGGATGTAAAAGCAGGATTCCTAGTGGTGTTTCTTGGCGAGAGAACCCCACTAGCACAGGGCCAAGTGTTAGCTGGAACAGAATCCTCCCATGTGATGTCCCAGCTACTGTGGTACAAGCTCAGATCACCTGCCCCAGTGATCTGGCAGAGTTACAGGTTACAGAAGGCAGACACAGGCGCTCCGTGCACACTGCAGGTGGCGGTTCCAGGAAGCAGTGTGCGACAGAAGCGGGCACACTTAAGGCTGGCTGGGGAGGGCTCTTGGGGACAGCACCGAGGGGAGGGAAAGGCACAACACAGGACCTGGCAGAGGAAGCCATGAGGCCATCTCCAGGGAGTGCTGCAGCTGACTCCACGGGCTCTCGGGCTCACCAGGCAGTCCACACGCGGGGCCCCAGGAAGGGGGTGGTGCCATGGGCCTGGGACTCCAGGGCCCTCCCTGAGCAGGCACGTTCCTAGTGGCTGGAGTATTAAGCCATTCCTTCCCCAAGAGGACTGTGGGTGTCCACTGCACACCACCCCTTCTCTCACCCAAGCAGATGCTTCCCCAGTGTTTCTCCAACCCCCTCAGGAGAGGGGACAGCTCTGACCCTGTCCCTGGCTCCTCCTCTCCTCACCTCCAGAGCCAGGCATCCTGCTTGACCTCCCCTGCAGGTAGGTGACAAGGGCCAGTGTCAGCAGGAAGATATGCATAAAACACTGCTTGATTACACAGCAACAACAACAACAAAACTGCCCCCATGAGCTCAAGGTGCTGAGAAAGAGAAAGCAAGTGGCAATGACAAGGGATTTGAAAGCAGCAGCAGAAGGAAGCCAAGGCCCAGGCATTCTCTTCTCCGCTCTGGGCCACAGGCTGCTTCCCCCAGGCTGCTGCTGGCTTATCTATGAGTGAAAGGGGAGCCCCAGCACCCGAGGGAGAAGAGCAGGTTGCATGTCTGCTCCCTCATAAGGCTTGGGCGAATGCTGTCTTTGTTACCGCCATGATTGGGCATGGACGAGGAGAGACTTTTTGGTCCTGGTCAGCCAAGTCCCGGGTGTCATGATGTCAGTCCCATGGCGTGCTGAGGAGGTTTTGCTTAAATTAGCCCAGAGCTAAGAAGGACCCTGAAGTGAGCAGGCAGTGGCAGCGGTGGGCACAGAATTCACTCTCCCTCCGCCGGCGGAAACAGAAATCAACAAGGATACCCTGGGATTTATGAAAATGCTGTGATTTAAAATCATTAAGTGTTATTTCCTCTGCTCAGGATAAGGAGCCGAGGGAAGAGGCATGAGGGATTTAAACACAGAAACATGAGTGCAATTTAACAAAGAAACCAAGAAAACACTGCAATCTCACGACCAAATTCCTCCCTCATTATATTTGTCCAATACAGAGAATTTTTAAAATAATGAAATTGTGAGAACATCAGGGAGAACAGTCCTAAAACAGCCTGAGATTTGTGCTAACTTGTCACTTCTCTCTTGTATCCACAGCTGAGTTAAAGACACCTGCTGGCCTCGAGGTTTGCCATCAGAAATTCTCATAACCCCTCAGGTAATGACAAGAGCTACCGTAACAGCTAGGGAGAAAGTAAGCAGAGTAGATGGAAAGTCAAACACACACAGTTCCTTAACATGATCAGCCACAGCCTCTGATGAGAGCAGAAGCTCTGGGAACATCTTCCAACACTCTATAATCAATACTCATCTCCACTAGCTCCTAAGCTTTCTTCGCAATCAAAGTCTCATTGGAGAAAAAGAGAAAACCAGAGAGAAACACATGTCTCTACACAGGTACCTCAAGGTCCACTATCTGCCTGGGAAACACACACAGTTGACAGTCACCTGTTGCAGAGGATCCTAAACTGGGTTCCTTCACAAGACCACACGGCGTACCTCTTCATTTCCTACAGAAATGCAAACCGATTCCAGTTTCACTCTTTTCCCCTTTCCACGTAGAGCTAAAACGACACTCAGCGTTTGTCATGAGCTGCACCTTCTTGCTGATCTCCCTCTCTGAGCTGAAGTTACCACCATCTCTATTCTCTGCTCGCAGAAGCCTAGGAAGGAGCAGAAAGAGCGGGCTACGGTACCTTTGAACTTGTGGAACACAGCCCACAGCTCGGCGATGTCCGTGGCAAAGGTGATGTCTGTGTCGAGGACAATCACTCTCTCCAGGTTGGCAGGAAGGGTCTTGGTCAGGACGAGCTTCATGAGACCGTAAATTCCGGAGTAATGCTTGTTGGGGATCCAGGACACCTCAGACTGCAGAGGTCAGGCCGGAGGGCGAGTGGAAGAAAGGAGGAAAAAAAACATAAAGCAAAAACCACATTAATTTTATGCTTACACATTACAGTGCACAAGACCTAAAGAGTATCCAATAAAAAGTCACTGAATAAAAGAGTGAAGGTTTTCTTAGAGATTTGTCCATGGAACTGACATTTTAGTGCATGAAGACTTTTGCGAGAGAAGGCATTTGAATCAAAGGAGAGGAAAAATAACAGTTACTAAATAATTATCACATGTAAAGATTCAGGCTGCAAATTTTAAAAAAGTTTTATTATAAAAATTACACAAGTCCACTGGAGAAAAAAGATATGCAAAAGGAAGGTAAAAGAAGAAAAACTGAATCACACTGCATGTATTTTTTTAAAAAGATTTATTTTATTTATTTGAAAGAGTTACAGAGAGAGATAGAGTCAGAGAGAGACTGGTTCACTGGTTCACTCCCCAGATGGCCGCAACGGCCGGAGCTATGCCAATCTGAAGCCAGGAGCCAGGAGCTTCTTCCAGGTCACCCACATGGGTGCAGGGGCCCAAGGACTTGGGCCATCTTCCACTGCTTTCCCAGGCCATAGCAGAGAGCTGGATGGGAAGTGAAGCAGCCAGGACTAGAACCGGCACCCATATGGGATGCTGGTGCTTCAGGCCAGGGCTTTAACCCACTGAGCCACAGCACCGGCCCCACTGCATGTACTTTTACAATTGGTGCCTAATTGTTCTTAGTTAGGTATGTTTCTTTAAATCATATTTCCTTTCTACATTCTCAAAGATGGCACTGTGGCACAGCGGGTAAAGACATCCCACATGAGTGCCAGTTTGAGTCCCAGCTGCTCCACTTCCAATCCAGCTCCCTGCTAATGTGCCTGGGAAGGCAGTGGAAACCCAAGTGCTTGGGCCCCCGCTACCAGAGTGGGAGACCCAGATGGAGTTCCTGGCTCCTGGCTTTGGCCAGGAGTGAACCAGCAGGGGGAAGATCTCTCTTTCCTCTCTCTCTCTCCCTCTAGCTCTGTAACTCTGCCTTTCAATTACTACTTAATGGCACTGTTAAAGCTCACCCTTATCTACTGTTTTAAGCAGTAATCAAACACATCGGGACAGCTGCCTTCACTCTGTTCTTAGGTAAACACACAAGGGGACCCTGGTCAGAATCTCAGGAGCACTCTTCAACCACCAGCCACAGAGGATCCACACACAGGCACGAAATTGAAGAACCTTTTGGGTGCTGCTGTGGTAATCCACATGGGACACACAGAGACCAGCCCTGCCCCAGGGTGAGCAAGGCTGGCAGCAAGGCACAGAGCTTGGTGCCACTCTGTAACCAAAGGTCAGGTTGACAACACTGCGTAACACCCACATGTCCACAGCTTTCCCAAGTGCAAGATCAGTTACGGGAGTCAGGAAGGGCAGAGGCCCATCTGAGCTACACTGGGGAGCTCCCACAGGAGCCAGTGCATAGCCCTTGTGTCCAAGAGATGGTCAATAGTTCTAGAAGCCTTCCATGAGGAATATGGCCAGTTGGTCAGGACAGGACTCCAAACAACATTCGTCACCCTAGCCCTTCAACTCCATTTTGAGGTCATGGTTCTTTAAAAACAAAACAAAACAAAACAAAACAAAAAAACAAAAAAACAAAAAAACAAAACAAAAAAAAAAAAAAACCAAAAACCTCATTTTAAAAAACGAAACAAAAAATTAAATTTGAAGCCCTAAGATGGTCATCAGCAAGTTATAAAATAAATGCAAACCATCCAAATGCTCCCAAACTGAACCGTTAGCTGAAACACGATGTACTTTCATCTCATGGAATTCTGTGCAATGGCTGAAAACAATGCAGATTAAGATGCAATAAAAAGAAATCTGCACACGATGTTGAAAAAAGGCAAGTTCTAAAATTGCTGCTTTTGCTTATAACCGTTATGAGGACAATCAAACAACATGAAAACACATCCATACACTCCTTCCAGCACTCCCCCCCTCCCTCGTACCGCTCGCTCTCCCTAACTCCGCTTTTCAAATAAATAAATACCTTTTAAGGAAAAAAAGGGTGGGCTGGCATTGTGGTGTAGCAGGTTAAGCCAGTATCCCGGTTAGAAGTCGGCAGCTCTACTTCCAATCCAGCTCCCCTGTAATGTGTGTGGAAAAGTTGCAGAAGATAAGCCAAGTACTTGAGTCCCTGCCACCACGTGGGAAACCCAGATGGAGCTCCAGGATCCTGGCTTTGGCCTGGACCGGCCCCAGAACTGTTGCTATTTGGGGAGTGAACTGGTGGATGGAAGATGGATCTCTCTCTCTCTCTCTCTCCCTCCCTCTCCCTCTCCCTCTCCCTCTCTCTCTGCCTTTCACATAAGTAAACCAAGACATCCACACAAATATATGAAGAGAAAGGAGAAACCGAAGCAAGACATAAAATCATGATGGTGACTGCGTGGGGATGATGACTCTGTCTAACTACACAAACGTCTGTATACCGACACGCACTTAAATAAGCTATACTTTGCAACTCATCCAAATGAGCAGTGACTAGGGCTGGGAAGTTAAGCCCTGTGTTCTTTTTACACGTAATCGTGGGTCGGTGATGGTGGGCAAACAAGGCTCGAAGAAAGGACTTTCCATGACGCATCCACCTCTCAAACCCACGCCACACAATGCTTTTGTCTTCCTAGTTCACTTCAGGGCATCATTATAACTGCTTCTCAGTTATTCACTGGTCTTTTACTGAAATAAGTACACTGAGATAAGAAGAAAGGAAACACACCAATGGGAAAGGAATCACCAACCGGTCCCCTGGCAGTGTACAAGGTGGAAGAAGAGGCTGGAGTTCAAATCCGGACTCCAGCCCTGCACACAGTGTTCGGTCTCTAAGCCTCTGTTCCTTTACCTGGAAGATGGAGAGGAAGCCCACACCACGCGTGATGTGAACATGAAGAAGACTGAAGGAGGCAAGTGCCTAGCACCTGAGAGTCACCCAGCAAACATCAGCCCCCACCCTTCTCCCTGACTCCCCTGCCTCTCTCCAACTACTGCCACCTCCTTAATTGTTTCACCTTGAAGGTAAGGGGCTCTGGCACATAGCAGATCACAAACCTTTGGGTTCTAGAGTTGGACACAACTGGATTCAGATTCCAGGATCATCACCTAATCCCACGTCACCTTGGAAACCTTGCTGGGATATCCTGAGCTTCTGCCACTAAAACACAGGGCATTCCTTCCAAGTGCTTACCTCACTGTAATCAGGCAGAGGGTGAGCAGAAACAGCACTCTGACCCAGGCAGCTGGCAGACAACTTAGCAATAAAAGGAGCAGGGAGCCCTGGCTGAAGTGTGTGCAGAACTGGGGGCACTAACAAGGGATGCACAGTACTCGGGGAGGGAAATTCTGGGGGGAGGGACAGGGAGTTGGGTGCCACCACTCCCAGGCTTGAAAGACCAAGGTCAGCAGTTGCTGGAATCTAGAAAAGTGGGTTGCACGAGGAAGGCCACCTGGCAGGAGCAGTGACTTTCAGCACAGGAATATGGGCGATCCATGGAAATCTACTGGATGGGAACAGGGAGAAGTCTCCCAGCCTCTCTCCTCCCCCACTGCTTCCTGAGCTCCTGGTAGGACGCCCCTCTTTCCAGTCCAAATGGAAGCCAGATGGATGCAACCTTCACGCATCAGCCTCCTGGGAGACAAAGAAGTAGGGAAGGGAGAGAGGGAATCAGGAGGAGCAAACCTAACACAACCAGCACAGCCACACGGTGCACACTAAGGCAGACACCAAAGTGCAATGGCAAGATCAAAGCACACGCCTTACAGATATTAGGTGCAAAGCACACTTCTGGAATGGATGAGTGGGTGGGTGGATGGATGGATGGACACAGGCAGCCAAGGGATCTGTCTATAATCCCACAGCAAGTAAGAATCCACCAGAGGAAGGTTTGAGTTCTTTCCCCAAATCATATTATCCTTGTTCTGGAGTTGGCTTTCTGATTAGCCATCACCTTGCAACCCAGGGACCCACGAGTCCCTCCCTCCAGCGTACTGCAGGCAACCCTTCCTCACCAAAGTCCTGGCCTGGGCAACTGGGCTCCGTTCCTTCTCTCCCCTAAGAATCTGCCTGAACTGGAGCCTGGCAGTCAGCTGTCCACACTGCAGAGCAGGGCTACCGAATCAGACCTTTGATTAACTTACTCATCTATTTTGGTCACCATCAAAGCAGGAGACCTGGGTGAAGACTGAACGCCAGAGTGTTGGGTTAAGCCATCTAATCAGATGGCCTTGACTCTCAGCTTTATTTTTAACACACATGCGAGGCTCTCAGATGCATCGCCGAACAGTAAGGCTACAGGAATAAATTAATCTCAACATGAGCCTGTGCCGGAACGTCGCCCCAAGTCCCCAACTTAATACATAATCAATTAAGTCCAAGCGTTCAATTAGAGGTACAGGAAGCATTTGAATGAGCTTGTGTTCAGAATGAGAGCCCCAGGAAAGGCCAGATAACTACGGAATCTTGTGTGTGTGTGTGTGGGGGGGTGAGCTTATACACAGGCTCATCCTCTTAGGACCAGCACAGTTTCCCACAATCTCTTCCCCGCCTCCCATGCATTCTCCTCGGTCTTCAATTCTCAACCAAGAGATCCCTGTCTCCCAGGCACCACCGCCCCACTGGGGCAGGGCTCCCAAGCAAACTATTTTTCCCTTCTTGCACAACAAATATCAATCAAGCTGTGTTTAATTTTCTATGCCTCTCTCTTGCTCTTTACTGGAATTCCTTGAGGCAGGGACGATGTCTTTTTCGTTGCGGTAAATATTCAACATAATCATCCCTCAAAAACAGCCTGATGGATCAGCGTGACCATGGAATTAGTCAGGCCTGGGATCGATTCTGCCTGTCACACGTTCCTCAGCCAGGAGCACAAGTGCCCACAGCTGCTGAAGTGCAGCGCAGTGGCAGAGCCATAGAGTTAGAGCTAATTGCACTTCTGCCATGTGACCTTGGG